AAAAAGACTCTATCTTTAACTCAATATAATAAAGCAATTCTTTATCATAAGAATTTAAGAATTCTAGAAACAACTATTCACCCATTCTCACTATAAACTTGAATATAAACAGCTATTTTCACCCATTCTCACTATAAACTTGAATATATTATTCATTAATAACTAATCAGCAATTTACTCATTAATAAAGATTATCTGCAAAGTAATTCACTAAATACTTATAAGCTATTATTAAGTTTTCAACAGAAATAAGCCCAATGAAGGGCAAGATAGGCAACAACATGCATTCACTCGATGACTATGTATCAAGCACCTACTGTGTGCAAAGCACTGTCCCAGGCCTTGGCAGTGAGCAAAGCAGACAAAATCCCTGCCCTTGTAGAGCTGATATTCTAGTGGCAACTATCACTATCGAGTGGTCTGTTGATATGTGTCTGCACATCACTACAGAGCACTCTTATGATGCTGAGGAGAACTGAAGATTTTATTCACCTGAATTCAAAATGAGCATAAAAGCATTTGGTAAATTAAGAGGGAGAAAGAACCTGTGCTGAGAGAGCACTGATGAGTTAACATACGCAACCCTGCACACCATGCCACTCAACAAGGACTGTGCCCAGAGGTTGGGCAGGTTGGGGCAGGGGATCCACTACTCCCCCAACCTGTCCACCAGTCCATCTTGGTTTCTGGAAAAATCAAGGTGTGGGCTTCTCACCTAGTCAGCCTCATGTCACTTTTGTTCCATGTGGTTTCTAAACATAAACCAACCCCTTAGCTGTTTACTGAAGAAACAGTAATTTCCTCCAGTGCTTAAGGAAAATCTGTCCTTAAGGAGTAACTTCAATTCTAAATGGTAATTTTGATTATGTGTTGTTTACACTGACTTTAGAATCTAAGCCCTCTCGGAGTAAGGTTCAGTCCACTCTACATTTCTGTTAAGATCCAACTTTAGACCCGAATGAAAGAACCTGGTCTTGGAGATCCTGCTGTAAATAACAGGGTCTTTCCTCCTCAACACTCCCTGAAGCATGTGAGGTAGGTTATGACCTCAGTGGTCCCATCAGGAAGCTGGTGCCTGTGTGTTTCCACTCACTTTGCTAGTGTACTTGGCGATATCCGCGGCGACATCAGCTGAGGCAGTGGCGATGGGCAGGTCAGCATTGACTGAAGATGCCAGGGTGCTCGTGGACCCCGAACTGCTGACCAGGGGCGATGACTGTGTGCTGGTCACCAGAGTGATGGTGGACGTGGATGGGCTCTGTGTGATCTCCTTCTGCTGGACAGCTAAGAAAGCAAAGGATCCTGGTTACCCCAAACTCCGAGAAGGACCTGCCCAGCACAAAGCTGTGGTGAGGAAGTGAAGCCCCTAACACATGCCCTGCGGGCTTCTCCACTTGCAAGTGATTCTCTCCTCGACCAAACTCTAGCCAGGCTCCGCTGAGCCCTCTTCTCAACTAGGCCCCAACAGCCTGTAAAGACTTGAACAAACACCAATAGTTTCAAGGAGTCAAGGTCGTGTGCTACAATGACTCCAGCCCCCTGAGAAAGTACCTGCCTGAGAAAATTCCAAGCTGCCAACAAAATTTAGTTTGTTCCATCCAACACCTGGAGATAGGGCCCCTATCTCCCAGTCTCTATGGAAGAGTAGGAGCGGGAGCCTAACTTCCTTAAATACTTGTTAGCAAACCCAATTGGGTTTCACATAGACCAATCCTGCTTCCTGCTTCTTGTTTAACTTCCCTGACTCTACTGAGCCCCCCACTTACTCCATCCTTTTATTCTCCCTTTAAAATGCCCAGGCACCTCCATACAAATCAAAGTTGGTTTTAGTTCATACTAGACTTTTCCCTATTACAGTAGGATATTATCAATTAAAATCTGTCCTTACCACTTCAGCTAGGCTTTGACATAAGAGAATCTCAAAACTAAGAACTGCACTGTCAATGAGCCTCTTGCTGGCGGCACCTAGATTCCCCTGGGAAAGGCTCACAATGTATAAAATGGTGTATAAAAACAAGACTGGGAAGTGGTAATCTCAATCTCAAATATCCCAGACTCAGCTCTGCCTCACCAACTTTTTAAACAGCAAGCTCAATCCAACCATACTCCAATGTTGCCTATCCACATTTCCAGAATCTTCCCACCCCTAATGTTTCAAGGGTTTCACTGGGAGCTCCCAATCTTGCTACCTTTCAACCTCACATCCTATTGCACCTCAAGAGTCCTACTCACTACAAGGCACTCACTATGAGAGTTTCAACCAAGGAGCCCAACCTTCAAGGATCTGGATACAGGTTTCCCTGTGAAACAAGACCTACATCAGTGCTCACAATACCTGGGGGCAAGATGGTACTGATCAGATTAGCACTTTGTTTGGCATTTTATCAGCTCCAGATGGTTGGTGGAGTTTACATTCTGCAACTTCAGCAAGTGATTCTTGGGGGGGGGCGGGGGCGGGGGGGGGCAGCTGACTGGTATGGGGATCCAAACCCTTGTCCTTGGTGTTATCAGCACCCTCTCCCAAGTGACCTATCCAGCCAGCCCCCACAAGTAGATCTTGATGTGGACTCATCTCTTATGCGTGGTGAATCCCCCAAATTTTAAGGTAACCTTTGCTATCAATTTCTCACACTGTACCCTTTCCAAAAATAATGACAACAGGTTGACGCAAGTGCACAAGGAAACTGAGACAAATATATTCATTGCAGCACGGCTTACAATAGAAAAAAATTGGAAGCAACCTAAGTGCCCACCAGTAGGGGAATGCTTTAAATAAACTATGGTATACTATGCAGCAGTCCAAAAGAATAAGGCAGAGCTATATGTACTGACATGAACAGACCTCCAAAACATGCTGATGGGTGAAAAAAAGTAAATATGGTACCATTTTAATGTTTAAAAAAAAAAAACAGGGGGGGAATATTTTATGACATCATATATATAAATATATATGCATACATGCATAGAAAAGGGTTTTACAATGGTTGATAGTGGCTGCTGAGAAAGGGAAGAGAATAAAATAGGTCAATTAGGACAACACTTTTATGTAAATATTTTGCTCCCTTTGCAAGGAGAATATATGCATGTACTGTTTATAAGATGAAAAAAAATTAAAGTAAAAAAGCAAGTTGCAAAACAATTTTTAAAAATAACACCAAATGGAATGTATAAGGCCTTCAGGATATAGTGGCCAGGAAACAAACTGGGAACTGAAAAAACAAAAACAGCAATGGTTTTTCTCCTGTCGATGTGGCAAAAAGGGAGCGGGCGCCACGGAGCACAGAAGGGGAGGCTCGGTACCTTTCACAGCCTGTCTGGTCTGATATCTTGTCCCCTGGGAAGACTGAGGCTGCTGCTGCTGGCCGTGCTGCTGCTGCTGCTGCTGCTGACGCTGCATCTTCTGCATGTGCCACTTTTGGGAGGACGTTTGAAACTTACTTGATGAGTTCCACACGACCCGCTGCACAGCCGGGGCAGTCTCCTTCGGCAAAAGCGGCCTCTGCTTTTTCACGGGGCTTCCTGTGGTGGCGGCGGCATTGGCCGGGGCCGTGACTGTGATGGTGGACGTTGTGCTGGTGGTGGCTGGGACACCAGCCGCAGGAGCTTGGGAGGAGGAGCGGGTGAGCACCGGTGTTTCAGGGGGAGACTGGCTGCCCACAGTAGTAGATGATGGAGCTTTACCTACAACTAAAGCCAATGCATGGAATTAAAAAAAAAAAAACGATTTTACTCAGGTTCGCCTGCAGGGTCTTTATGCCCGCAACTTCTGGGTAAAACCAACCAAAGCCAGAATACCAAATGCATTCAGCACACCAAGTACAACTCCCAACAGAGGGGCACATTCTCACCCACACACTTAGGCCGTTTCTGCGGCATCTTCTACCTCACCTGGAGCACTTGCTCACCTCTGAGACAGTCAAGACCCCCGGGGGGAAAAGAGGTGAACAAGACTCAGGCCTTGCTCTCGACTTGCCCACCAACCAGTGGACGAAGCAGAGGGTGAACAAAATCACTCTAAGTGCCTGTTTCATAGAGTGAGAATTTGGTCAGCACCTTGAGCAAGACCTAACCAAAGTCAATCCAGATGTGAAGAGGAACCTTTTCACTAAGAGAACCTATCAAGCACGTATCCCAAGAGCCAGATAGCTGCTCATCAGCCGCCAAGCCAAAGCAGAGTAACACCTAATCACCCAGAACGAAAAATATCCTTTTTATCCCTTCTGATTCCCTCCAGGACAAAAATCTCAGGGTGGTGTTGATAGCCTTGACACCTAACACTAAGAAGAATTCCACCCCGAGGCTAGAACCTTCCCCTAACACAATAGCATTATCTACAATTTATAGCAGCATTGTTATTGTTCTGATTGTACTTATTCCCGCCACCATGATTTATGTAAAGCATTACAATACTGGTTTTCCTACTGTGCAGTTGGTCAAGTCTAAGACTAAAATGAATTCAATTTTTGTTTTTAAAGAGTGAGTGCTTTAAATAAAAACGTGAAGTTAACAATTATACACGGAGAACTTGAGAATGGCAAAAACAAGCGAATGTCAATGACTCAAGTTTGAAAAACACTGCCATATACAAGAGTTTGTCTTCTCGGAGCAGCTGGGCTATGGGGGGTTAGGGGTAGATTTCAACAGGCCAAGTTGAGAATTTGGAGGGAACAGCAATAACCAAGACATGTCTAAGAACAGGGAGCGTTTTGGTAAGTGGAGGCAGGCAGGGAGAAAGAGTGACTGGAATGCAGGTTAGAGACAGAAGCACTGAGCAGCACAGAAGCAGTGACCACGCGGTGCTTGTTTTGTAAAGGGGGGTTAATTATCGTTGCAGAGGTCCCAGCCACCGATTAGGTGAGCTTGCCCCCAGAGAAGATGCCAGAGCCAGCATCCCGATCTTGGACAATGCTCCTTGACATCAAACTCCTTTCAATAAGAATTGTAACTGTCTTTTAAGATTTATATCACCCTGAGAAGACATGAGCTTGATTGTTCTAAGGAAGATTTTCAGTAAGCTGTAGGTTTTAGGAAGCCAAGGAGAATGAAGGTTAGAGACATGCTGACTTATCTAACTTGGGAGTTTTCTTGGTGGCTTTCACGTCTGCTCAGTCAAGCTGGCAGGCAAGAGCACAAGATGGGGCTGAAAGGGGAGTTCTTTCTGCAGTGAAGAGCCCCCATCCTTTCAAAATGACCTACCAAATACTGGACACAGTCTGCCCACTCCACATGCAGAGGAGGAACTGAACTGGGCCCTCCTGAGAGGGCACTGCCCTGGCAGGGTTCCCAACCTGCAGAAGTGCCCTCATGCCTCCCTTTTCTGCCACGTAACAAAAAAATATATTGTTATTGTTGATTAGCTTGCCTGGTCCCACCTTGGACAAAGGCCAACCACAAAAAAGCCATTTCTCTCTCCTGATTTGCAAAAGCAAACAGCCAGCTTTGCAGAGGGGTTACTATTCCGCAGCAGTCACACTGGCTCTTTTCCAAATTAAAAAACAGGAGTGTACAATCTGAAAAGATTCCAGGCTCAGAGTACTGTTTGGGGTTATCATTTAGATACTAAAGTATTTTAATTTCTAGGGAATTCTGATGGTTCACGGAGCAAAAAAAAATAAAATAAAAGGCTATAGGAAATTCTATTTGTCCTAGAAATTTGGATTATATAATCAATCACCTATAGCAAAAGAAAAAAGGGCGGAGGGGATTTCTTCAGGGGTCAGCACCCCAGCAGCTGTCCCATAAAATTAACCTACTTATTCCAGAATCTGTCACTGGTCACTGTTTTGCACAGAGAGGACTTTGTTTTTGTTTTTCTTTTTTGTTTGTTTTTTGGGATTTTTTTGTATCTTATTCTTCTTTTTTCCTACTTTTCTATCTTTCTTTCCTACTTTTCTATCTTTCTTTCCAAGACAGGACTTTTTAAGAGAAGAATTAGCATCCCCTTTGGAGAAGGACAGAAATTACTGTAAGACAGGGTAGGCACAGCAGAGTCTCTAAGTGAGCTCCCTTTGCCTCTGTTCTGAGACTACTCGCTATAAAAACCACTTTACTATCTGAGGATTCATATTCTACCCACATGCTGCATTCCCAGCTGAAGGTAAGTTGGAGGTCACCACGGCACACTCCAAAATGACCTTCACTGAATTAATTTGTAAGTGAAAGCACATCATTGAAAAGAGGTGCCACTGCAGAATCTGACAGGAAGCTGATTCTTAAAGACCCAAACCACCATCAGGGGCTCTGGATTTAAGATCAGCTTGTTTTGCCCCATGCCTGGGAAGCTGCTCTAACTGAATTGCATTTTTTAAAAATGCTTTTTTATTTTTTGCAAAGTATGACATCTTTTAAATTGTGTTTCCCTTTTTGCTTTTACTACTAGGAAGCTCAGAGCCAAATGAAAACCCAACTTTGTTAACTCTGAAGGTTGGAACAGCACACATTTCTACATAACACCTTTCCCCAGACCTCTTGCTAATCTACCTTCATTTTCCTATTACATTGATTTATTTTCTTTCTTTCTTTTTTTTTTTTTTTTTAAAGATGACCAATAAGGGGATCTAAACCCTTGACTTGGTGTTGTCAGCACCATGCTCTCCCAAGTGAGCCATGAGCGGCCCTTTTATTTTCATTTTGTTTCATGATTATGTATCCCTGTCAATCCACTGCAAATCCTCTCTGGAAGAGGAAGGGGCATAAAACCAATCAGTCCAAAGATCTGTTCTGGAAAGAAAGGAACAGTATAAATATGTCATTAGTAGGAGCACTGCAATCTGCACCCCAATATTCCCACAATCCTTGTGGAATAAATGCTACTCCTATGGTTCTTTGCAACAACAGAGGCAGTCTCTCAAACCCCAATCCACAAGATAACCAGATTTTTCAATAGGCCATCCAAAAATCAAAGAGAGGGCTCAGGGAAGGTCTGATGGTCTATCCTTCCTGTCACACTTAATTGCTTCTCTCCCTCCCTCCATGTTCCATTCAGAGACATCTCCCTTTGTTTTGCTGAACTGCAGGAATCCTCTCTCCCCCTGACTACTGAGGTTCCGGAGCAGCCCAGGCAGACACAACCACAGGACAATGATTCTCAAAGCCCATCCCTTTACTTGCTTTAAGCTGCCACATTACAGAAACCCCAAGAGAGATAGAATCACATCTTCAGGGTTTGGTGTTGAAGTTAGCTCCTGCCAGAAGTTAGGCACAGTCACAATTAAAACTGGCTGTCCCTTAAGTTATTCAAAGTACATAAGGTTTTATGGCTATAACCTCTAATTTGTCCTTAGGCAATGTTTCTCCAGGGCCCTCAATTAATTCTTCAGTATCATTCTTGGGCATGTTGGAATCCCCTCACCACTCGCTCGCCAAGCTAACTGAAAAATGTGCTGACTACTTTGTCAGTAGGAAGGACACCTTTCAAATTATTCACTGGCTCCTTCTGCAGGGTGTGCCAACATGCCTGGGCTGCGCTAGGCTTTAGGGCAGTCACTGCTGGTTCAGAATATAACAGTCATAACAGGAAGGAGGCCTGCTGAGACTCAGGCAGTGGTTCTCATCAAGGGGAGACGCTGCCCCCCAGGGGACATTTGGCAATGTCAAGACATTTTTGATTGCCACAACTGGGCACGTACTACTGCCACCTAGTGGGTAGAGGCCAGGGATGCTGCTAAACATCCTCCAATGCACAGGACAAGGAATTATGTAGGGCAAATTGTCAATAGTGCAAGGTTGAGAAACCCTGGGCTCAGGTGGGTTAAACGCAGATAGGATGGAACACCAATTCAGGAATCCACTTACAATGCCCTTGCAATTTCCAGTGCTCCAAGAAGCATTCGGCATTCTGGCACCACCTACCCAAATGATTTCATATTCTCGTGAGAAAATACACTCGGAGATGTCTGCACAGCCATGAGGGGAGAAAAAGGATTCTGAATTCATCGACACCTTTCAACTGAGCCTTGTCAAGTGTCTAAATGTTAACCCAGACTTTAGGGAAATGAGTGAGCATACTGGAAAAGAAGCGGCGAAGTCTAAAAATGACTTGACCACTAGAAGAAACTACCATTTTCGAAGAGACCTATTTTCTTGCTCACCCTCAATCATTTTGGATATAGAATATGTAAAAGGTGGGGAGGACTACATTTAAGTCCTGGCCCTGTTCAGTAACTAGCTAGGTGACCTTAACCCAAGCACAGCAGTGCTATGCCTGTCAGTAATGTTAGAGGATTACATAACTTTTGATAATACAAGTACAAGATGGAATTCTAAAATAAATTAAGAAACTAGAAACTGACACAATCACTTACCATCCTGCTTGGGAGATGGTTCTTTGGGTTCCTTCTTATTTTTTCGACCCTCCCGCCCAGAATGGTCTTCTCCTAAATCTATGACAAGTTCACTCTCTGAATCGGAGTCCAGGCCCAAATGTACTGTAGGGGAGTCCGTCTCATCTTTTCCCTTCAGTTTATCCTTTGTGGGATGAGGTGATAAAATTAAAATTAAAAAAAAAAGAAGCTAGAAACTGATACAATCACTTACCATCCTGCTTGGGAGATGGTTCTTTGGGTTCCTTCTTATTTTTTCGACCCACTAGAAACTGACACAATCACTTACCATCCTGCTTGGGAGATGGTTCTTTGGGTTCCTTCTTATTTTTTCGACCCTCCCGCCCAGAATGGTCTTCTCCTAAATCTATGACAAGTTCACTCTCTGAATCGGAGTCCAGGCCCAAATGTACTGTAGGGGAGTCCGTCTCATCTTTTCCCTTCAGTTTATCCTTTGTGGGATGAGGTGATGGTTTTGCTTTTTCTGAAAAGTCTTTCTCAGGCTCAGGGCTGGCCTTGTCCTTGACTGCCCCCGGATCGGCTTTTTCACTGGTTGGTGATGTGCTTTTCAGCTCCTCTTTAATCTCGACTGGGTTTGCCGGTTTGGGCTTTTTTTTGACAGCAGGTGGCTCTCTGTCCATCTGACTGCCCTCTTTGTCTTCGGTGTCTTCTGGCTCATTCTTGGGCTTCTGCTCATCATCACTGATATACTCACCATCGCTACTATCTGACTTCTCGGAATCCTCTGAATCGCTGTGCTCTACAGCCGTGTACACATCTTCCGAGATTTCATTTATACCTAAATTCAAAAAGAAAACCCAGCATGTGGCATAGTCACAAAATAAACAACAGGACCAAAAACGTAAACATTTTCCACACCAGACACTGGAGTAAGAGAACACATTTCAGATGGCATCACACTGGCCTGGTGGGATTGGTAATGAACTAAAGTGGCAAATAACTCCAACTGACAAATGGAACTTGTGTATGGAGAGTGTTTCGGCTATTAACATTCAAAGAAGACTTAATGGGACCTAATGACGTAAATTTTAAATTTACGAAGAGCTAAATATTTGTAACGTTGATAACTAACTGGGATATAGAGGATGGGGGACTGGTAGGAACACCAGAGAGGAGCTCTTCATACTGATCCAATTATAGATTAGAAGACGGAGGCCCGTAGAAATCACTTGCCCTATGATACAAAGAAAACCAAAAGAGGCAAGACTGAACCCCAGGGCTCCTGACTTCCCACCACTGCTCTCCCCATGCATTCCCAAAGCATTAAAGTCCTTTACCCTACATGTCTAGGGCTCAAAGAAATAAGCTAAAGCCTTAAAGCAGAGATTACAAACTCTCAGCCCACAAGCCACAAATGGCCAGGAAACACATTTTAACTGGGGAGCATTAGTTTGGCCCACAGGACATTTTGTTGTTTGCTTTTTCTTTTTTAATTTAGAATTTGCTACCCAATTGACAAATTGGGAAATTTCACACAGAAATCAAGGTGGAGGCTTCTGGTGAAAGAACAGAAGATCTAACCACTATAGGTCACCCTCCTGCAAGTCAACAGTTGCCAGGGGGCCGAGAAGCCACTAGCCCCCTTAGGCAGCGAGCACCGCACACCCCTCTCGCTGCCTGCACTGATGTGGAGAGTCGACTGCCACTGCATTTGCACTGCTCTTCCACTTATAAATGGGTCAAGAGGAAAATCACATATTTCTATGTCTCTACCAAAAGGAAAAAGTATAAAATAGCAGGTATTTCTCACACACACATAAAAATGGGAAAAAGCATAGTTCAACGATAGTTCCATTCAATCCATTTATGCTTCCTGCTCCCTATAATGCGTCAAGTGCCATCAGGCTGTAAGTAAATAAAACTATATCCTAAAGTCTCAAAAAGAGGAAAGAAAACCCAATCAACTCTTTGTACAGTCTTTATTCTAGAGCAATGGTCACGATGGTGGCATCAGTGTCCTGACCCAGACACACCAAAGGGAAACTTACAAAAGGACAAGAGCCATGAACAGCCCAGGGCCTGGGAGATCAGCAGAATCATTGGCAAATTGTATCTAGCTCCACCAGGGCTCGATCAAAACACAAAATACATGGGCTGGCCCGGTGGTGCACTGCTACAGTGCGCCGCTTGGGAGCACGGCGGCGCTCCCGCCAAGGGTTCAGATCCCACATACCGACCGACCGCTCACTGGCTGAGCGAGGTGCAGGCGCAACACCGAGGGTTGCGATTCCGTTGCCGGTC